GACGGGAGAATAGGCTATGCGGTAGCGAGTAGTCTTTAGCCGGCATAGGTTTTCAAGACTCATTTCTCAAAACATCACATTTCATATTTGCAAGGCGTAATTGTAAGGAATGCCTATTTTGTTAAGGTAGGTTGTTGGAATGTAACTTTCAGGCTACAAGATTGTTGCCAATAACCCTTTTGTCATTAGGTGGGATAACACTAAGCACCTATTGTACACTCCTTGCTCAGGCGAGTTACGCATGTCTAAACGTAACCACAATTCTACAGCAGTAGCCCGGTAATGAGGTACTGCTGTTTCGATTTTGCACGCCTGTCTCCGTTCCAACCAGCCGACACACTGTATGTATCGACCGGTGAACTTGCCCTGTGGCGTGCCATGGGTTGACTCCAACTCAACCATCCGCGCCTGATCCAGCGTTTTCACGACGGACAATACTGGCAAGTACACATGTACCCACATGCATGCATACAGTCGTTCTACACCCATGTGACCGGGTGAGACATTTTGTGGTAGACCAACATCTACTATTGGACAGTTGGCAATTTAGTGCACTCTACCTCACACCCGAGGTTGTGACCCTTTGTCCCACATTAGCAGAGTAGAGGGACGAGACTTTTCGGACAGACTGTGGTTCAATTGGCCTCTTGCTTTCGGTGCATTGCGCTCTGTGGTGGTTCAATTGAGTATGGTGCTTGAAGCGCGATCACTACCCTCAACCTTTTCCACATCGCCGATCTGAGTTATCTGACACTCGCACTATTCAAGACGGTGGTGAGCCCATTTGCAAAATACCATCCCACTTTTTGGGTGCGGAAGCGGGATATTGTCATGACCAACCGGAGCTACCGATCACTGTGGCAGCATACACAACGGCGCTTCAGGCTAGAACCGGTAGCATTGGTGCTGCGGGCTTTCCTCCTCATCTACCGCATTGATGCGAAGCGTGAGTTCTTGCAGGGGAAGAACAGTTGGGGCAAATCACATCTACTTTATGGCCGGTGCTTGATCGGTGTAACGCGCACCGCAGACAGGATATGGCGCGGCTACAAGAGCATTAAGCTCAGCTGATCGTCCATCCTGTTCGATGTGCTTACTCGGAAAAGTGCTCGCGTGAAATGCGTGAACAGTTTGTGTATCCTATGCGTTTCCAAGGTGAACTTTGATGCTTTCTGGTTATCAGGTAGCGTCAGCTGGATTATGTAATTACCCACTTTTAATTCATTCTACTCATAGGCTCTCTCATAGAAGGTACCCTTGTGAAATCTCACAGTGCAGATTTCGAGGTGCTGGTTAGTGTGGATTGCACGGACGACATCGTACCATTGTTTGACTATTATAAGGTGGCACAGTCAACTTCAGACTTAAAATGCCATTGCAGGGCCCATGGCTGCTTGCTAGTCCTTTTACTCTTGGAACCCATTTCGGCAGCCGTATCAACATCAGTAGGTGTTTGATTGCTGGTTGGTTTGTGTATTGCGGAAGCTACAATTCCTTTCATGAATCTGTGGCACTTCAGTTATCAGAAGCGATTCTCTCTACTCTCAAAGTTTGTGTAGACAAAATCGCAGCGAGACCCATTCTGCTTTGCCACAGTGACATGGCTCCTTTTCTTTTGAGAACCAGAAGCACGCTCAACTATGTTTTCCTCATTAATGAGTAGGGAAAGTTTTGTTGAAATTTTATTGTTTTGCCTCAACATTTCACAAGCCAGATAGTTTAAACCCCAGTCCGGAAATGCACCAGACGATCGTTTCGCCCTACTAGAGCTCGGCAGTTGCACGTATTCCACCGGTCCTCCAAGGACCGGCTAGCAGATGGCGCCAACTAGCCAGCAGCCTATGCCACAACCAAGTGGGACGTTTGCAGACCGTCATAAGCTGCAAACTAACTTTGATCTAACGCAACCTGCCATGCAGATTATTACCCTTGCAGAGGACAATGGGTGGCCTCTAGTGGTCACGACTTCCACTGCGCAGCAGCTGTGTACACATACCACTTGAAGACTGTGGGTAACTATCTTGATTACTAATAAGTAGGGTTATTTTTGATGAAATTTTGCTGATTCGTCCCGCAAGTCTGGAAACAGGTAAGTGTGCCATCAGAACCATAGCGTTAATGCAAGGGTCGAATTGTGTTGAAACGGCACCAAAGTTGGGATAGGTTTCTTTAATATTTTACACGTAGTTTTGAGTGTTTTCGTTTTGCTCAAAAAAGAGATGGCAAAGCGGCATTGATTCCTATTGCGAGCCATAATCATGGGAGTCAGCATCACGTGGCCCCCAAACCAAGGAGACGGACAGGTCCAACTGATGCCAGACATACTTCATGTTGGTCCGCCACGACGTTTCTTCCATTTATGTCCAGAAATTGCAAATAATGTACGGCGAGGAAGGGGGTGGGCTAACATGCGCAGTACACGACCCAGCCAATACAATCAGTGTTGCAGAATAATGCCCCGGATCCATGGGACTGTTAACACCGAGTACTCGGTTTTTGGCTTCGCATCATTAAGATGTTTTAGCACCACACACGAGCCACCGTTTCACATAGCTCTGTACCGAGTGGCAACAGAATGTTCACAACGAGTTTGTGCGCAGGTAATTACTGGGAGTTGATGAACAAATCATTTGGTTGAACCGACAAGTAAAGCTAGGTAAGTAGCATTGTCTTGGACACGTGTTGCGCATACCCACATCGTTTTATACACTTGATCTAGGACGCCATTAGGCTCGAAAAAAGTCATCGTTGGTCTGGAGGCGGAGAATGGAATCACTGAGAGCTATACTGGACGCCATTAATCTCTTTTCGCTTTCCAAACTGAAATCCCAGTAGCACTTTCTGTGCCCATCCCAGGATCTCACAGAGTATAACCCTCAACAAGCACCGGTGATGACTGCACTATTCCCCTCTTTACCCGTGGGTGAGGCTGATTCTGACGCCTAGTAGTAAAGGCCGCTAGGAGGACATCTGGCCGATGTTACCTTATTTTTGCATAATAATTACCTGTTTGCAATCGGGTGGGATTGAGAAAGTATAGGTGCTTAAACTCCGTTCGCTCGGGGCGTCGAAATCCTACACTAGCCCCCTTCTCTCATTATTCTTCACTGGTATTGTCGAATGGGAGCAAAACATCGCTGCAGCGTACTGCCACTACTGCCGGTGATGATGAAGCGAGTTTTCCATACCCCTCGCTCCTACTTTGTTAATTTGCACAAAATTGTGAGAGCTATCGATCAAAGCTGGGGTTGCAATGCGCAACAGTCCGCCCATGGGATTACTATATGGGTCAGGGACATTGAACAGCTTGGCGTCTTAGCTTCATAGCGCATAGAAGACTTGATAGAATCATCAGGTACAGTTGGTGCTTAGAAACATTATTTTTACATATCCGCCTTGGCCAAATGCACGTGCGCTTCATCGTTGGTTGGACGCCCGATCTGGCTTGGTAGTACTGCTGAACAAAGCCTTGTTTTCCAACATCTTTATCCGGCAATTCGCTATTTTTTATTTTGACTATATTCTTGAAGTTTGTAAGCTTATGTCTGCCTTCATTTTTCCATGGCAGTGCGTTTTCGAATCCGAATTCATATCACCTAGGTGCCAGCATCGTAGTTAGCTGAACTGATACAGTTAAATCAGTATCTCACTGTTACGGAAGAGTAGTCTGTAGCAACATCATCCAGTCGCAGCATAGCTGCGAGGGTCGGGACGGGCATGTGCTAAGTTTCACCGAGTTCACGGGACTACCTCCTCCTTAATCGTGTTTCACTGTTGGATTCTGGTAAGTCAATAAAACGAAAAATCATTTGGAATAAATTGAGAGTTCATCGCAGCAGCTTCTAAATCAGATAGTCCTCCACATGCCCGGAAAAGCACTAGACTGCAGTTTCAACCAGTTGGGTATCATCAGTAGTGCGCATCCATCGGATCCTTCAGGATTCGAATCCATTACCACGAGCGGCTTGCACCGCCAGTCAGTAGTTTATGCCACTAGGCCACGGACCGTCATGATTTTCAAGCTAACTATGATATAGCGCGTCTTATCCTTCACTGCCATGTGAGTTTACGAAGGATGGCGTTGTCCACGAAAGACAACGTCTACTGATAGTAGCTGTGTACGACATAGCATTTAGAAACTGCCAGGGCGGACCTGTTGATGTGCTCGGAAGTAGTGGCTTTTGTTGAAACTAGTTGAGAGTTTATCGTAGCAGTTTCTAAACCAGATAGTAGCCCACGTGTCTGGAAAAGCACTAAACGGCTGTTTCGACCTGTGGAGTCTCGCCAGCAGTGTGCATCCATCGTCTCCACCAGGATCCGTATCCATGACCACCAGCGGCTTGAGCCGCTTATACCACTGAGCTACGGGAGACAACAATAAACCGTAATGATTTGCAAGTTGAACGCGAGGTAGCACGTCTTATCTTTCAATGCCATTTGGAAGTGTTAGGCTTGCTTGTCATCGCAAGCGATATACCAAAGAGAAGATTCTGCCATCTTTTACTGTTTTCCTCTTAGGTCAATAATGTGTGCCGGGACAATACTTTTATAAAGACCATGGGTTCCCGATGTGAATTGGGTCGCACGCACGATGCTTCGCGCATTTCTAAAGACGGAACCATCTTACCAAACCGTTGGCATACATTAACCCTACTGGAACCCAACGGGCAGTTGTCCCTTCACCCATCCAATGTGGGGTCAGTCCGCGTATTTCACGAGATACGTGGTTAAGAATTGCGCTGAGGGTCAACACCCACGAGTTAAACAACAGCCGCATGGTAGTTCGGTAGACAAAGTGAATGTTCCTCCTGTGTGAGGGCAGATGACAGTGCAATAAGCCGCTAGCGTGATCACCTCCTATGAGGTGTGGCGGAAAGCATTCAATTACAGCCCCATTTACAATTTATTAATAATAACTTAAAAATGCACATTTGATGCACATGTCTATGAGTATTCTCCGTTTTGTATCCTCCTAATGAAAGCTTTTTTTCTTCCCATAGATGTGGGCCGCTGAAAACCTAGACTTTCTTGGGTGTCAAAAGGCCGTATACAATAGAGCAGTTAATCCTCCTCCCACGGATTTCAACTGGCTCGATTGGTGCCAAATCGGAGGCGAAGCTATTATAGCTCGACCGATTTGTTGGGATCCAAAAGCTGTACAAAAACCGGTGGTGCAGGATGAAAAGACCAAATTAACCTCTCTAAAGCGATCGCATGCGGATCACGATTCTACTGAAAATGAGGACATTTTAGAAGCTATTGAGGAGGCTGCACGTGACAAAAAAGCTGCTCAGTGTGGAGAGACAAAAGTTTGCACACTTCACATAAGCAAACACATGGCAGATCTGATGCCACCTGGTTCAATCTATCAGTCGGCACTGACGTGCTACGCTCGACTATTCAACACAACCGAAGCAATCGTGATAGATCAGATACGTCGAAACCGTCGTTTCTCCACTGCCCCAGAATCGGCCCGGTTGCAATACGAGACAACTACTGGGCTATACTATGATCCGGAAACATCGCTCTACTACGACGCTGCCCGCGGCTACTTCTACGACAGCGCGACCCACACTTACTACTATTGGTCGCAATCTGAGCATCGATATATACCCGCCAATGCTTTAATACAGGCCGAATTGAATGCTGTTCGCGCGGAGCAAACCAAGGCTGCCGAAGCCGCGAATGCTCGAGCTGTGGCGGAAAGAGAAGCTGCCATGAAGGCTGCTATGCGTGTTGCGGCAGAGTTGGCCGAGGTACGGGCACGCAAGGATGACTACGCCGCCTACGTTTACGCCACTTGTGTTATCCCACAGCAAGAAATGAATCCCATGGACTCGAGCAGATCGATCAATTCGGAAAAAACGTTGATTTCAGCGTATAGGAACACTGCGGCCGCGGCTAGTAACATTGAATGTTCCCTAAGACGCTGGGATGACTGGAAGCCTGGCCCGTTGGTCCCCTACACAGACGATACTTCCGGCCTCGAACTATCACATAACTCGTCCACCCCACCGCCCCCAGGTCTCTAACAATGACCTGTCCTCTAACCTCCAATGTACACATTCCCGCATTTGTAGTGTACTGAATGAATCGCGTGGGTCTAGATAACGTGGGGATCAATCTTACCAGTGTTAGCAAGTAACGTAAGGTTAAATTGGCAATTGTACACCTGGCCGAATAGGCATCACGTGAATAACAGCCACAAGCTCTCATCTCAGCCCACATGAATAAGGGTCCTGTGGGGCCGCACTCGATGGTTTCTGCACTTATGCATTACAGGTACCTTATTAAATGTCTACGATTTGTGTTTGTCCGGCAATTCTGATGATTTCTTCGTCTACTGCAATCGGTCGCCCAAAACGTTTCGTTGGTAATTCGCGCATCGGTTGCGACGCGATACCTGCGGCCAAGGAACTAGAAGCGAAGTGAACTGAATAGTACCACCGACTTCCAGAGTACGTCACGTGAGATAACGTCTCCAGCCATTGAAATCCCAAAGAAGTGAGACTCATCAGTCTACTTGAGAGTAGCGTTCAATTCTGTCATAACATTTCGCTATCTTACTGATCGGTCACTTTGGAATTCACCTCAATCAAGCTCAAATGGCTACATCCCAATCGTGATGAAGTGCTAGGTGGGTAACAGACATATGAAGAGCGTGAACCAGTTAATGTTCATGGCCCATGGAGTCTCTCGCCAACCCTTGACATTACTCACCTGGTGTTTACACTCACATCCACAGGTGACTAGGGATTTGAGGAGCGATGCGGAGGTTATCTATGCCACACAGTTATCTCTTCGATGTGTTTTGACCGGCACGAGTCATGCAACTACGCTGAGAAGTGGATAACTTCAGTGTTAAACAAGTGCCGCGGGTTTGGGGCTTCATGAGTTGTGAACCCGAGCAAATCGAGCCACTAATCCGAGGAGATCATTCACGGCAATATATAGATGGTGACTGGAGGAAAAAAAGCGTCTTAACTGATACTAGTTGGACAAGTGGTGACGGGCCTCAATCAGGCCAGTCACTGACGCCTTGTGCTTCGGTTTAGGTTAGCGGAAGCAGCATCGCCGGTCTGAGAATTAATTCGATGAATTTTAGAAAAGGGTGGTATGTAATCGCCTACCTGCTACGGTCACTTGGAAAAGCCATTAGTCACAGATGGCCGTTTGATCGGTTTTGACTGTTTTCCAAATGGTATTGCGTTTTGGTTGATGAAAATAAAGTCAGTTTCATGATATGAAATGTTATATGTACAAATAAAGTAGTGGTATCACTCATCGTGTAAGTTCCACTCTGGAAACCCAAATTGTGGGTATTTCATGAATGGTTACACCAGGGATTATAAGTATTTGGGACAATAAGTTGCTAGGCAGCAACTCAGTTGGAGCGAGTCGAATGTTCCCTTCGAGCTTTTCGTTTGCTTTGTTTACATCACAGCTGCTGGCTTGAATGTAGAAATAATACCGCGGTTCGTCACACTTTCTGACACGAGCGTGTAGCCAGGACGCAACCAAACCGAATGGTGGGGAGCCTGGAGGTTTGAATGTTATCAGAGCGTCCTGCTCCTCGTTGGTTCTCTCCATCAAACCATTCCAAATAGTCATAAGACGAGTGTCCTCCTCACAATCATGCAAGACCAAGCGGATTGGTTTCGTCCTAGACAGATGAAATCCTTTTAGACAATAAGTATCGCCAGATGAAGAAAATGGTAACAGGCAAAACTCGACGCTCCACCGGATGATCTTGCGCGAATCAGGGCCTGTCACCACGCGACTCCGATTGATGCGCGCGCGTGATAAGACGGGTGTTGGATTTAAACGAAGGCGGATACCACTTCCCTCGGCTGCTTTGATGAGTTCCTTTCGGCAGCGTAGCTGCCATCTGTTCTTACAATTCAACTAGGTAGATGAAGAAAAAATGATAATGGTTCCGAATGAATTTCGGATAATCGGATCGAAAATGCATACCAGCAAATTTATAGGACGCATTAGCATAGATAAAAGCAAGCGCGTTCATATCTCGCTGATCGTTTCAGCGGCCATTGTCCCCCTCGCCTTGAAGTGTCGATAATCACAGCGTATCTCAGACGCCACCAAAGGCAGAAGCTAGTCAGTCGACTGACCACGATCGGGAGGTTGCGGAGTTTGATTTAGTGCTCCCATCGAATACACTGATTTGGATTTTTTGTTGTTACTCTTGCGATTCCAGCAATGTTGCCTAACGTTTTGAGATTGCGACTGCGTCAGTGAGACGACTAACGAAAATTGCACTTTGAATCCTGGTGTAGCACAAGAACTTATGACACAAATGGATGCTGGTTTTCGAAAATCGGGATGCCTACATGATGCAGTGGGGTTGCAGTTTGTAACATGATTATCTGATATATATGAAGACCACGTTACTTGGCCTGGAATTTAGTGTACTCACGAACAAAATACTAGTAGCTACGTATTGCATCTCAGCCATATAACATAAAACCGTTTCAATATGGTGTGGCTATTTAACTAACGCAGATCTACACTGCATTGTGACGTCTGTCCTGCAAAACTGGTGGGGCTACTTTAGTCAGTTCCGGTCGTAACATCAAAATTTGGCGCGCCAGAAATGCGGAAATTGACAAATCAAAAAGTATCCAATCTGAAAAATGGTCAGATGAAACCCAAATCCTCGTCAACAGATGGATAGAAAAGACTAGATGTAAGAGAACCACTGAAGCTGCAACTGTGTCGACACGCACTGGTCCGACCGAATCTCTCAGCCATAGCTTTGTCATGTTATCGGCTGGCCAACATGCAGCTTCACCCAATCACTAACTGAGTAGGATGTCTACCAGTGCATGTGGTATACACATGAAGTGATCAGGGGCGATCTGGGCCTCTAGGCTAACAGAGGATCTAGTATAGTTCCAGGTAGCGTTGCCGAAAAGTGATTGGTGAGCATCTACATTGTTTGCTCGGTGGTCCACCAGATATGCACGATGCTCCGCGGCCAGTGGGAGTTTGGGGTGCCTACGCAGTGACCACATCTCTGCTTCACACATTAACACTGAACGGGCTGGAGAATAGTACACTCCACTCGTGGCTGTTAAGGTGGTACGACAGTTTGCGTATTTCAGTGATCCATTGGGCTACGCAAAGTGGTATTTTCTAATCAACTTCCGCGTCACCCTTGCAGTATCCTTAGCCCATGTGCGATTGGTGAAAACTGAGTGGTAGCGAAGCGTCGGTGCGGCATATTATTGATGCCACTCATTACACGAACTGAATGTACTTCTCATAGAAGTTTGGAGAGGTCAGTGGTCCTTGCTCACAAAGTCAGCCACTGCATACGAAGGTGTAAATGTTATAGGATCGGCTCGTTTGGCGTAGGGATTGAGCGCTGCGGTTTGTTTCTAACAATGAAGGAGCACAACTCATGCTTACCGGTTTATGCTACTTGCAGCGTGGCCGCAAGTCAAAAAAGGTCTCACTTATCGTCGACTTTGGACATCATGATACACAGTTGAAACGCGCGTTATGAATCGAAGTCGAACAGATAACATTGATTGTCTGCGGTCATACTTTCGAGTCGGATATGATACCCTTCTGCATTGTGGATAAAGATATTCGGTCAAAGATCAGAGGAAGACAAACTATAGCAAGCGGGGATGTCACTGCCCACCGGACCACGTCGCCAATATTATTACTTCTCATTCCGTTTCTCCCCAACTTTCAAACTTCCGATTCCGATGCTAACCAGCAGGAGACCGCTGCTGACTTAATACTAGCAATGTACCCAAATCGTCCTTTCATATTGTTGCAAGACCACCAGCCGCTTGATGATCCTTGATAGCGAGGCACTCGAAGTAGTTGATCGACTCACTTACCTCCAGTCAGACACGACAGGATATGCCGTTAAACACCAAATGATGAATCACTATCACTCGCTCGTTGTTCCAACCAAATATGAGCACGACCGATCTCCGAAATCGTGAGAGAAACCTGATGTTACGACCGCATGAGAATGAACATATGATTCCCAAACAGTGCCGAATTCCAGCGCAATACACATTAGTCACACGATGTCCAAAAGTTATGGAAGCAAACAGGCTGCAATGCGACTAGGTATGGACGATAGAGCTAAGCACTGCTTTATGCAATGCACAGCTAGACAAGAGGCTACACGGACGTATGTGCCGATGTCCAGTTGTGCTTTGTCAGATTCATGAGGCGGCAATGTGAAAGTGCCCTCACATTTCAGAGTAAAAACGAAACAAGCAAGTATCTCCCTGATGTCTATGAATCCCGCTCTTCACATAGTAGAGTGGGAAGGTTCGATAGATACCCTAGCCCTCATACAGAGCGTGAACGTGATATCAAAAACTCGAAAGGCACGAAATCCATGGCGCCATTTCCCGTCCGACCACAGCACAGCTGTGAAACTTGCATTAATAAGCCAAGAGTCGGATGAGATCCGACTGTTAATGGCTGAAGTCAGATGAAAAGATAAGAGATAGCAGTGTTTTGAAGTCAAGTCAATACGGAGTGACAAAAACGCTTACCCTATGTAGGGAACTATGAAGGAGCTCAACAATGGCGCCAGAGTGATTATGGATCATGATGGTTTATTGACGACCTGATGGCGGTTATCACAGCTCGGTAACGTGAAATTTTCTAAAGCACCGACAACTTAATAGCGAAATAAAATAGGAGACACAAAATCTTAAAATGTCCACTTTGTTTACGAGAAGCGTTCAGCGTAATGACGGAACTCCTGTTTAATGGCGGGCAGCCAAACGTTTCTTTACTGACTGCGCACGTGCACAACACCGCCGACTGGAACCAATGACGTAATACAACCGACTCCAGTAATGAGCGATGAAACGAGTATGCGCCGTTCAGCTCTTTAGTTCACCGATTATTTGAGCGCCAAAGTAAGCGGACTCAATTGCCATGACCCGATCAGGAATACATAGTCAGACGCGAAAAATCGAGACTGCGCCCGTAACCCTCATTCTAGTAAGTTCCGGGAATCAAATATGATCACCTCCAAAGTAGTTCCGTCTTAGTTGACACACAGCGGCAAACGATACTGCTAACATGCAAGGTGATGCCGCAGGTCAGCCGATGGAGGATCTCCGTCAAATTTACTTTCATATCCACCGACGAAAATGAGCTCATCTGAGCAACAATCTCGTCTTGGAGAAGAGGTAGTTAGCAGGTAGCGATCTTTGCCGATTAGGGGAAAGCCCAGGCGCGATAGCGTTTACTAGCCAAAAGTGCCTTGCAGACGAATCATTATCCTGATACCAACCCCATAATTCTGATCATTTCCTTTTCACACATTCATAAAATATCGTCTTGCCGCTTGGTACTCACTCTGTAATCACACTATCCTAGATAACAATATGGTTTTCAACTGCCAACAATGCGGGCGTATTTTATGGCCATAAAGATGATTTCGACTTCCACCTCAATACTCAAGTATCATCGCGAGTATTTATGGAATTCAACAAGTCTGGTCCATCTTTAATGCGCTGCAGAAAGTCCAAACACCATTCCGTGTAACTTAATTTTGTTCATCTGACAATTTCCGGAACCAATTTCGAGTAAACCTGTTATGTTCTTTTAGAATTCGCTAAACATTTCCCCTCTTTAAATCGATTTCCTATACATTACTCTAACGCCACCCTTTGAACTTTCCGAATCACTTGCACAATGTCATCATTGATAACAGCTGCGCGTGAACCGCCTAGTCGATCATCTTTCACGTCTTGTCTACCAGCCAAAAACAATCAGTCTTCAACACGAGCCTCAGAAAATAGTGGTAACGTTTTCGTAACGGGTTTCTTCAGTTGAGCAAGAAATCGGCCACTTACCGACTGATGGTTATAGCATGCCTATATTTGACGACGCGTCCATTGGTAATGACTAACGCCATCGAGCTTTGCTACGCAATATCGTGACAGATCAAAACATGTGTTCTGCAGCCGTTTTTCTATCTCCTTTTGAACTACATGACCAGTCTGTTTTTTGTGAGGAAAAAATAACAAGCGAGAGAAAACGTAAACTAGTTTGCAAACAACGTATCTAAATGGGGTCGAAAGATATAACTGTTCAACGAGGCGAACAACAAAAGTGATTTCTCGATTGAACCATGTCAAATGAAATAGCTAAACCGTAGGTGTGGTTGAACCCGATGGATTGATTGCGCCATACTAATCAAGAACTGGACACTTTATGGCTTCACCTAAGTAGATGCGGCAAAGGTAAATGCGCACACGGGCATCTAGCGCGTCTCAATATACCCAAACTAGTGTTTGCAGTGAATACGACCAACACTTTGTGGGCACCGGCGGTCGAAGACAGCCACTCACATAAGGGATTCAACGCAAGCGTCTACGCAGCTGACCCACACAACAACACCAGCGGCACTGCAACACTGCACATCCTTCGTTTAACGGATTGGCTGTCAAGCCGGTTTTGGAAGACCACTATTATTTTGCCATCGCGCGCAGCAACTTTGAACTGTTCACAAAGTTGAACCGGTCAATCACGGCAATGGTGAGGAATAGTGATGCATCGACCACGTCTTGAGTTATCACTATATTAGTAGTGTAAAGCAGGTACCCATGTGTGCATCGACTTTTGTCAGCTTATTCAGCAATGCGGGTAGCTTGCCGAACTACTTCATCTTGGTGCTATCTGGGTGATATGCGTTTACCCCGTTCCAGCGAAATAGTTCAGCGGAAGTTATAATTGCCACTGAATGTACGGCTAACTTGCTGCTACTGCGCAGCTGACTGTCACCAGATATCTGAGTGTACGGATACTCTGCATGAATCAGTTGTGCGGCAGTGTATTACGACGCATTCTCTCTATAAAAAGCCACAAATTTCCGTTTAACAATACCGCGATTAACTAAGGTCACTGGCTTTTGCTGCACCTCGGTGGAGATGGGTGTGCTGGTCCTTGTTTGGCAACTCGCCAAACTTTGAAATCCGCTCCAACCACACACCCCATATCCAGTGTAAACCCGAAGGAATAAGACCGGGAGGCATGTGGATGTGAACCACGTTTCATCAACGGAGTCGGCCCACACTCCTTCACAGGCAAACACAAGCACGCTGTATTTGGGGAATCAAGCGCACACAAGGCGGTGGCTGGACCGTAGTCCGCTCCACACTGGCTGCATGGAACCGCTCTTTGAGCCTAGCACGGCCACAAGAACCGTGCACCCCGTCCCCTCCAGCAACGACCAACTGTCTCCTGGAGCCAGTATGGACGAGGTAGTGGGTAATAAACAGGTAGGCACCTTGTCAATATGCACATCAAGCGCAGTCACACCGGGGATATCAAGCAACAGCCATTCACTTTAAACGATATGCTGAAATAAATTAAATCCAATAATGCATAGAGATACGGTGACATCATCATCATCAACAGCAGTACATCAGCCATTTGTACTGATGCTTCGCTGCCATATAACCATGAGGACCTATGGAATAAAGAATAATAAGAGGGAAAGAAGGCAGACTTACTTGAAAACCTTCATGCCCTGAGCAGACATTCAGGGTCAAGGCGCCTACACCTTGTGTAGACAACATTCCGTCACAAACAGCTGGCTATCGTGCAAAGATAAGGCGGCATCGGCGAGACAGCTTCCTTGCGGCTTTCACTGCCACGCATCATAATCAGCCATTACCCCGCAGATAACTCAGCACCAAACACACTTTAAACAGACAATCCGATTAGGAGACGGCAGCAGACGCGCCACTGGTGTCGGTTGCGAGCCATGTCCTGTAAAGTCTCGAGCCAAGCACAAGGTGAGTCACGTGGACTCCAACCCGGAAGGCAAGACGGACCAACGGCACCTAGTTTGATCGTCAGTGACTTCATTTCCCGCTGTCAAGTCAACTTCTGTCCACCTCGAGCCTTGCGCCACCCTACACCTGGTAGACTGAATAAGGCCCTCCTAGGTAAGCGGTGACCAGGCATACGTAGCACGTGCCCGAGCCAACGTAACTTATTCAGTGCTATCTGTTGTTCTAGGAAGCTAGCATGATTATCACCACCTAGTACTCGCCTACGCACATCATCGTTGCGGACACGCTGGTGCCATCCGACACCAGCAATGCTTCGCAAACAACGGTGATCAAAGACTTGAAGGCGCCTCAGATCTTCAGAACGAAGGGGCCAAGTTTCACTACCATACAGCAGAACGGCCCTCACTGTGGCCTTGTATACACGGCCTTTCAGACGGAGGGAAACTCCCTTCTGTCGCCAAAGATGCCGCAGGTTCAAGAAGGCAGCTCTGGCCTTTGCAATGCGTGAGCTCACGTCAGTTTCTATGCGCCCATCATTCCTGATGCAGCTGCCAAGATAAGTGAATTGATCAACCACCTCGAGTTCCTCGTTAGCAAGCGTCAAGGGGTCAACAAATGGCTGGTGGTCCTGGTCGACACAGGTACTCCAGTACGAGCGTCAATCCAGAATGGGACCGCGCCACCTGTAACTTATGGCTATGTGGTCAATTTGGGTCCATCGCTGACCAGCTACAGGTGGACGCCAAGTGGCACTTCGGCGCCCACTGTGTCTAAAAGCAGTGCTAGTAAGAAACAACTGGTGCTCCGCACACAGTTGCAGCAGACGCTCGCCGTTGTCAGTCCGTTCGGAGTTAAGCCCACAATTACCACCCAGCTGAGCTTCTGAAGAGCTCAAACGCCCTACTTGTGCGTTCATATCCCCTGCAAGTACTATAACATCTGAACTAGTAGCACTGCATAGTAGCGCGTTCAGTTCGTCATAGAATGTGTCCTTGACAGCATTTGAACTGCAGTCGATGGGAGCATAAGCAGAAATCACGAACAAACAGCGATTTTTACTACTTCGTGAATCAACCTTAGCTGATGTCGTCAAACGGGCTGCACATAAACGGCTGTTCACTGGAATCCAATCAACCAACGATGAGTCAGCCTTGGAACTGAGAATGATACCTACTCCAGCTTGACCCGTGAGTGCCGCATCGGCGTCTCCGGATGCGTGCAACCAATAACGAGAGGATAAGCCGGGTGCAGTCAATTCAATAACCCCGTTAGGGTCATTAATCCTAGTTTCGGACACACAACACACATCAATACGCAGTGTGTCCAAGGTGCGTGCGAGTGCAGCCTGCTGACCTGTTTGTCTTAGAGTGCAGACGTTGAATGTCGCCATGGAAACGGGACAGCGTGGCCTTATAAGGAACTTTTGCCGATAGGCGTCCGATAGGTGCTGTGGGATGGTGGCTGCAGACGGTACTACTCCAGTAGCACTTCGGTTGCTGTCAATTAAGCTGGGAATTATAGAAGGAAGGTTAGTAATAGGGGCCGGGATGGGATTAAGAGAAAAAGGTGGAAAAGAAAGAAGGGAGGCGCCAGCAGTAGCATGCTTTCGCCTATCCGCCCTGCTGTATGCAGCAGATAAGGCGACCCTTGATAATCTGCGCGACGGCCGATGCAGGATGAAGTTTGAAGAAAGTGTCATGGTTGTATGTGGGCTGGGAAACTGCCAGGGCGCCCAGACCTAGACAGGAGAACGATTAGGGTCCTCATCCAAAGCCTTTGGCTCAAAAGCCTGTCCGCAAGGCAGCGGGGTGGCAGTGATTTAGTTTTACAGAAATGGACGCCATCCCATTTCAAACCCCCAACCTGGAGGACCATGAGACTGAGTTTGTCTGACCTCTCACCATTGACCAACCTGGTAGGAGTAGCTCTCAAGATGCTCGGAGGCATCACCCAGTATAGCTCAATGGGTCAATGAGGTACGCAAACCGTCGCACCACGTTAAGGTCCAGTCTCGTTGTGACGGATACGGTGACAACTCCTCGCTAAACTAGCATATGAAGTAAGCTGGTTAGCAAGGAATCCGCGATAAGTAAGAAATGTCCACAAGTTACTTAAAAATGCTACAAACGCAACAAAATTACCGATGATAAGCGCAATTAGCGTAAGCAACGTGGCCAGTTAATAGAACATTATTCAGGTAGGCAGAACAAACCAAATAAAGTGGAATGAAATGTATCCAGCTTAAAAAGACCTAGTTTAAGTGTAAGTTGGTTTAGCCCAACTGCGGTGAAGAAGCATCAAGAATGCAACATCAGCCTCAGCATGGGGCGCATATATATATATATATATATATATATATATATATATATATATATATATATATATATATATATATATATATATATATTGCAAAACAACAAAAATTATAAAAACGCACTTGCGCCAATTCTTTTTCCCGGAAAGCATTCCTGCGATCTATTTCTTCCAGCAATCGGTAATCTTGCTGAAAATGGAACACTCCATACTCAGAACGTTGGCAATAGACAACAGCATCGCGAACACCGGAACAATTGAACTTTACTTTGTGCTCTGTGCAACAGGTCAGGGAGCACGTCTTGCAGCCACATCTTGGACACTTGTACTTGTGCGAGTTTTCGGAACAAATTTCACACAGTGACACCGATTCCATGTAAGTTTGGTTTCAAGCCTTGAAGAAGGAAATCAATTTTTATTACAGTTTTAGTGCATGAAGTTCAAGTAAAAAGAGCATATGGTAATGGACTAAAAGTGGGCAAAACTAAAATTTCTAACATGCGGAATAGATAGTTGTAACAGCACTTGATAAAATGGACGCCCTAAGGAGCCCTTTTCTTCAACTTAAGGCTGCGCTTAAACGCAGAAACGAAATCTATAATATTCCGAGTTTGTGAGTTTTCGGCTGACCGACCACGAACCACGCGCTGGAAGCAACCTATTCACCACAATCAGCATCATCAATAGCATTACATCAGCCATTTGTACTGATGCTTCGCTGCCATACGACCTTAACGACCTACGGAACGAAGAACAATAACAGGGAGAGGATGGGGACTTAACCGAAAACCTTAATGCCCTAGGCAAACAACCAGAGTCGAGTCGCCCACACCTTGTCTTAGCAACATACAGTCACAAGTAGATGACTATCGTGCAAAGATAACGCGGCATCTACGGGACAGCTTCCTTGCGGCTTTCACTGCCACGTGTCTTAATCAGTCATTATCCCACAGATAACTCAGCACCAAACACACGTTAAACAAGCATTCTGATTAGGAGACGGCAGCATACGTGCCACTGGTGCCGACTGCGAGCCATGTCCTGTAAAGTCTCGAGCCAAGCACAAGGCGGGTCACGTGGACTCCAACTCGGAAAGCGAGACGGACCAACGGCACCCAGTTTGGTCGTCAGCGACTACATTTCCCGCTGCTAAGTGAACTTCTGTCCACCTCGAGCCTTGCGGCACCCTAGACCTGGCAGACTAAACAAGGATCTCCTAGGTAAGCGGTGACCAGGCAGACGTAGTACGTGCCCAAGTCAACGCAACTGGTTCAGTGCTGTTGTTCTAAGGATTATTATCACTGTCTAGTACTCGCCCACGCACATCATCGTTGCGGACACGCTAGTGCTTCGCAGACAGCGATTCTCAAAGGCTTGAAGATGCCTCAAACCGAAGGGGCCAAGTCTCACTCATAGAGTAAGACGTCTCTCAATATTGCCTTGTAAACACCACCTTTCTGATGGAAAGAAACGTCTTTCTGTCACCAAAGATGTCGCAGATTCAGAAAGATAGTTTTACAGTGCGTGAGCTGACTTCAGTTTCTATGTGCCCATCGTTTCTGATACAGCTGCCAAAGAAAGTGAATTGATCAACTACCTCAAAGTCTTTGTACTCTAGGGTCAAGGGACCATCAAGTAGCTGGTGGTCCTGCAGCAACATTTTGCATTTTGAAGGTGCGAAGCGCATACCACCCTATACAGGTTAATCAGGGTTGATTGCGCCGCCCCAACATCGTTAAAAAGGGGGACAATATCGTCCGCATAACCAAGATCACCTAGCTTGTCACCAGGTAGCACCTCAACACATACATCTTGAGAATCCGCAAGGGAACACTCTATGATGCAATCCACGACGAAATTGAACAAAAGTAGGGAAATTGGACAACCCTGACGAAGGACATTAGTTGTCGGAAAGCTATCCGACAGGTCGCTGTAGACACTGATCGAGTACAGAGCACGTAAAATGCTCATGAGACACTGTTCTGAGCAAGTATTTCGAACAGAATGCGTCGATCGACTGAATCGAACACATTTTTGAAATGGTGGAACACAGCTATCGTCAGCCTGCAGTATGCGTGGCGCTGCTGCAACATCTGTCGCAGAGTGAATATGTGGTCTTTACCGCCCTGTCTTGAGCAGAAACCTGCTTGCTCTTACTTAATCCGGGATTCCCGTTCCACAATGAGGCGACGAACGAGAATTGATGCCAGTAATTTTGTCACAACTGGCGTTAGGCTAATACCCCTGTGGCTAACAGTCAGTGCAACTGCCCTTCTTGTCTATTGCCACTATAATCGATTCACTCGTCATCCGGGACTGTTTCCTCCTTCCAGGACGGGGTCAGTGCTTTGCAGAGGACCTCACCTCCATCCTTAAATAGTGCAAGTGGGAATCCGGGCCAGCGGCACGAAAACGATTGAGGGCTATGATCGCGTTTTGGACCTCCGCCTACGATGGAGCCTCTAAAATAGCCGTCCGTTGCCTGTCCTGCATCACCTGAGTAGGACGAGGTCCGGGAGCAGGGGACCAGCTGTATTGATCTGGAAAGTGTTCCCCCCAACGATCCATACAGCACTTCTTATTGTAATTCATGGCACTCGCGCTATCTGATTGTCACACTGACGCCTGGTTTCCTGGGACAACTAGCGAGGATCAGCAGGAAGAGTTAGCAATAGTTCGCTAGTGCTACCGCCTCCACCATTTCTTGAGCCCGACTGGTCCATCAGGCTTCCTTGTCATCGCGCTGGCTCCGCTTTAGTTCGCGCGTCCGTCTGGTCACAATGCGTTCAGAGGCAGCCCGGAGTTTCCTTCTGGATTCCAACAGGTTTACCGACCTTCCGGATATCCAGTGACTGGTGCGGTGACGACTAGTAGTACCACAAGCAGATGCTTCTGCGTCGTGTATGGCTCAGTGTCATTAGGACAAGGAAGCGAAAGTTCGGTATGCAGCGCAGCTTGGTAGGCTGGTCTGACCGAGGGCTAAAATAACTTCGGTTGCCAATCGGGGGAGACACTTGGTGCGCCTCCCCGAAAAGTTCATGGAAAAGCGACAGCGCATCAAATCATGATCAGAGTTGACGCAGGTATTCCAGAATGAGCGGCAATCCAAGATGGAACCGCGCCACCTGTAACTTAGGGCAATGTGATCAATTCGGGTCCATCGCTGGCCAACTACAGGACACCAAGTGGTACTACGGCGTCCACTGTGTCTAAAAGCAGTGCTACTAAGAAACAGTTGGTGCTCCGCACACAGTTGCAGCAGACGCCCGCCGTTGTCCGTACGGTTGTAGTTAAGCCCGTAGTTACCACCCAGCTGAGCTTCTGAAGTGTCCAATCGACCTACTTCTGTGTTCATATCTCCTGCAATATATTATGAGATCTAAACCGGTAGCACTGCGTAGTAACATGTTCAGTTCGCGATAGAATGTGTCCTTGGCAGCATCGGAACTGCAGTCGATGGAAGGGTAAGTGGAAAGCACAGAAACAGCGTCATACTACTTCGTGAATCAACCTTGGTCGATGTCGTCAAATGAGCTGCACACAAACGACTGTTCACCGGAATCCAACCAACCAATGATGACTCAGCCTTGGAGTTGCGAATGATGCCTACTCCAGCTTGACCAGTGAGTGCTACATCAGCGCCTCCGGATGCGTGCAACCAATATGCCGCATGCAGTTAATTCAACGACCCCATGAGGGTCATTGATAGTTTCGGATACGCAACACACGCGCATACCCAGCGTGGCTAACGTGTGTGCGAATGCAGTCTGTTGACCTATTTGTCTTAGAGTGCGAACGTTGAACGCCGCCAGAGAAACGGGACGCCGGGACTGTTGCCGATAGGCCTTCAGTGGGTGTTGCGAAAAGGCAGCTGCAGATGGTTTGACTCCAGTGGTATTATGTCTGCTGTCAATCAAGTTGGGAAATATGGAAGAAAGTTTGATAATAAGAGTTGGGAGAGGGACGAGAGTGCTGTGGGAAAGAAAGAAGGCGCCAGCAGTAGCATGTTTTCGCTTATCCGCCCCGCTGTATGCAGTAGATAAGGCGACCCTTGATGAGCTGCACGCGATTTCGAAAATGTGCCACGCTAAAAGCTTGGTACAATGCGCTAACATGCGTGTAAAATGGTGTAGAGCTCGTCAAATTTGCTCATTAGATACAATCGAACGTGAACTAGAACGAATCACCTTGGCACTACAAGAGAATGAGTATCCAGCGCGCTTTATAGCACGGCACGCAAAAATACGATCCGGAGATAAACCACCAACCGATGTCCCGAAGAAAAATGTCATTCATTATACACGTCAGCTAGAGGTGGGAAACACCTCAGCTACTGCGCCGCAATACATAAATGAAAAAGGAAAATAAATACAAAAGTTGCATGCCAGCTGAGCTACCAACAACGGTTAGGCATCGTTCCAGTAAGCTACCAGCCGGCTACTAGGCAAAAAGAAAAAAATTATTGTGTTTAAGCTAAAAAGTGAGATTGTAGGTGGAGAGGGAGGCTAAAATGGATGGGGAGGGACAAAGAAACTCACAGCAGGAACGCCACCGAGGCCGGCTCCTTGCCATGTCAGCAAGTGTTTCCAGCCAAACGTATTCACCGTCTTTTGGACCCCAACCAGGGAGCCGTGACGCTCCAACCGAGGCTAGCACCGAAGTGAGGGACTTCATTCCCCTGGACCAAGTCATCGCTTGCCACCTCTCCTTTTCTTCCACCCACATCCCCGGTGAGCAAACAACGCACATCGTGGAGGTCAGTGGGCTGGCATGGGACTGAACACACAAGAGCATCGTTGACTTTTCAACGGATGATGTAGAAAGCTTCGAACCATTGATATGGCCGATCTCTTTGTTTACACCTACGAGTCCATACAAGTAACGGATCTTCACCATCGTACACTAGCTGTTTCGAGGCAGAAGATAGGCTGCCAGCAAGTGAAAAACAGCCATACAGTTAACGGATGCGCAGAGATGATACTTAGATAACGCAGGCCGTTTAGATTTAACAGAGTGAACTAATCGCGATGAAACTAAACAAGAACATGGTACGGTGGCTTTATGCTCCGTGATCCAGTGAGCTGCCCTGGTGGCACTTCTAAGCACCTTCAAAGCAGCTCATTCTAGACGAAATCCTTGGCCAGACGTCAGAGACACTTAAACTCGGCATTTTCCAGATGATTTGAAAATGAATCAACGGTCCTCTACTCTCAATTGGAGGCAACTGTAACAGGGGTTATAAACTCTGTTCGATTGGCGTATCTTACGAATACAATGGGCTATCTAGCATTGGAAGTGCTAGCTGCTTTGCCACCGCTCGCCTCAAAGGTGATATAAACTCTCCTAAGTCTGCGTGCGTTTGGCTGTGGTGGCAGGAATGTCGTCTGCTAAGGA